CCATGGTGTTGGTGTGCTTGACTGGCCAGCAAACTCATCAGACCTGAACCCCATAGAGAATCTATGGTGTATTGTCAAGAGGAAAATGAGAAACAAGAGACCAAAAAATGCAGATGAGCTGAAGGCCACTGTCAAAGAAACCTGGTTTCCATACCACCTCAGCAGTGCCACAAACTGATCACCTCCATGCCACGCCGAATTGAGGCAGTAATTAAAGCAAAAGGAGCCCCTACCAAGTATTGAGTACATGTACAGTAAATGAACATACTTTCCAGGCCAACAATTCACTAAAAATGTTTTTTTTTTATTGGTCTTATGAAGTACTCTAATTTGTTGAGACAGTGAATTGGTGGGTTTTTGTTAAATGTGAGCCAAAATCATCACAATTAAAAGAACCAAAGACTTAAACTACTTCAGTCTGTGTGCACTGAATTTATTTAATACACGAGTTTCACAATTTGAGTTGAATTACTGAAATAAATGAACTTTTCCATGACATTCTAATTTATTGAGATGCACCTGTATATATAACAAAGAGTGTCATCCACAAAAATGCTTAATATATACTGTATATTTTATTTTTGTAGAAAAAAAAAACGTTGGAAAACAAGACAGCAATAAAAATAATTTAAATTTAAAATTAAATTTAAATTTTACACCATCATATGTAACTCTCAATGTGCACCAAACAATAAAAGTATACAGAATCATGTCAAAATAGTAACACATGACCTCTTTAAGCATGAGATGCCATACAACCTCTTACTGTCCAAAGTGTAACTTTCAAATTTAAGGTTTTGGAGTCTAAAGAAAGAATTAGTATTTAAAAGATAGCTCTTACTGCTCTTGCTGGTCTGAATTGTTCAACGCATTTCACTCGAAATGGAACAACTGTAGATTACCAAAAAAAAAAGTATTTAGCATTTGCTTTTAGAGCACAGTTAAACACACTGATATGAACTGTCTATTTGAATAACGGGTGGGAAATGCAAAGAAGTGGCCCAAGAAATTTGCTGCACAGATGTGGGATCTTGGCCGGTGCTCTGGGGGAATTTCAAAGCTCCACATGCATTAAGTGCTTGTTCAGTACTGACGCACGTGCTCCACTGTCCTTCTGTGCTCTTTGTTAAGCCTTGAAAAGTCTGATTTCCTGAATCTCGGTTTGCACAGTTGCATTCTCTTGAGGAACTGATACCAGTAACACTCTTGTATGACCTGCTCGTAGTAACCTGATTGTAGGGGGATAACGGTGATGGGTTGTTTGTGATTGGATGTAATTGAAAAATCTTATCCAAGGCATGCTCGACACGTGATACGATGTTACTGGTGCTGATGTTCTCTTCAGGGCTACCAGAGCAAGCCTGGCCATAATCCACTGGCGCTGACTCAACACTGTGGGAACATTTCTCATCGTTTGTATCTACTGATAATGCTGAGATCCTGTAGGGAGACAAACATGTTGAGGCATTATTAATCTGAATTAGAATGACGCTAGTCTGTCACATGTTTCTGAAGTTTTTGGGGGAAAAAGAAAGAACGAACAAACAAACAAAAGAACATACAATTTCTTATCCTCATGAAGGTCGAGTGTTGGAATCTCTACATGGATTGGGAAGAACTTTATAACAGATGGAGGCAAAATATGACCCTGTTAAACATGAGAGAAAAAATAAGGGATGTATTTTGAGTTTTAACATTAGTGATGGTTATAGCAGGATTTTTCTCCCACCTTCTCCTCTCCATGATTGGCATCTATTTTTGGCTTGGAGATTTTGTCCCACCAATTCATCTTCATTCTGTAATGAAGAAGCAAAGTGTGTCAGAACTGAATTTGTCAAGGATGCGTGAAGGAATAGCAAAAATCTAAAAAGTTTTGTTATCGAATGATGGAAAAACACAAAACACACCTCAAAATGCAGATGAAGATAACACAAATGATGATGATTAAACCAAAACAGAGAGGTGGAATCACCATTTTGGCTATTTCATCTGGGGATGAGGCTGTAAATATACATTTACATTTAGTCATTTAGCAGACGCTTTATCCAAAGCAACTTACAAATGAGGATATAGAAGCAATGTAGTTTGATCAGGATTATAAGACTATTAACACAGATGCATTAATGACTTTGAGACAAATATAGATATTTCATTTGGGGATGAGGCTGTAAAACATATATACAGTAGATTGATCAGGATTATTTAAGACTATTAACACACATGCAATAATGAATTTGAGACAAATCTAGATAGACTTACAGGTGGTGAACTCAACTGGTGCGCTCTGGTCACTAGATATACTATGATCATTATAGTCTGTGCTCATTGTTGCTGTCAGAATGTAGTTGGTATTTGGTTGGAGATTTTTGCCCGTAATTTCAAAGGATAATTAACGAATAAATGAATAAAAATGAGAAATAACATGTTTGAGCCGATGGGGAAGTTTGTAACACTTTTCACAGTACTTCTACTGAAGCAAAGAAGAACAGTGTACAGAGCAACATTTGACACAATTATGAGAGTGACACCAGCATATAAATATGGAGATGTTATATCTAAGTATAGCCTACATAGAGGAAAAAAACAACATTGTTAGCGAAACAAACGCTTACCGTAACAAAATGCATGGCAGATGAGTGCGAGGATGATCTGACACTTAAGAAATGTGGAAAACATCCTGCACGTCCTATATGAAAACACAAATATTAACTAATATATCTTCAAACAATTAGGCTACACGTTACAAACTGTTAAAAAAAAAAAAAGATTCCTCGCAAAATATAGCCAAAATGTTACTTTTTCATACCTTCTGACTGTATTTGACAGTCCGTTGCCTCTTCCACAAAGTAAAAATAAAAGAAACCGAGTTTACTAACCACTCAGCAGGCAAATTAAAGACGGTTAAAAACAGGTTCAGTCACAAATACAGGTAGGTTAAATCTAACGTAGGGCTATGCTTCCCTATTTGCAACATGGAAGTCGCCAAAAAGGGCGTATCGAAGTTTCCTGGAACACACGCAGCAGTTCTGCAGTTCCACGGACTCCCGCTAAAACACAAGCCGCGCGCTCACCCTGATCTCCTGCTCGAACACAGCAGAATTCCACGGAAGTTCATCATCAGAGTCCACGTCAGAGATAAACAAGCAAGAAAAGTCTATGTATGAGAAAGCCAAGCTCAAAGGAAGTCATTATGCAAGGACCACAAAAGGAAGAGCAAAATGAGACTGCATTTCAGATAAACTTTTTATGCAGTTTCAATTCCTCTACTTATTTCAATATTAATAGCCTACCTCAATCTGAAACTGAAAATATATTAAAATGTTATATTATGTATTTGTGCATTTCTCCAGCACAGACAGACAGAGGTTTATTTTAAAAGCAGAATGAGCCATACGCGTATGGTCTGTCTGTGTGTATGAGCCGTTGCTGGAAAAAAAGGTAACTTCCAACTTCCATTTCGCTCGGGTTCCACTTTGGTGACCCCTTGTATGCAGTGGCGGCTCGCCGGGGGAGGCACAGCTTCCCCAAAATTTTGAGGTGAAAATGGGAGGAGGACGATTTAATGTTAATAACATTCACAATTCATTTCAATTCATGTCACAGAATATGTATTTTTTGTTTGTAATTTCACAGCTGTAATACCATAACATGTTAATGAAGTTGGAAAGCGCCGCTTTTCCATCACGAATGTGCCGAATCTGCTGATGTAATTACAACCGCTAGGTGATAGAGAAGGGGAGGGGGAGTTTGGAAGGGATGGATGTTTGCTTCAAGTGATAGGCCAGGTAAGTGAAATTATATTATCTTGCTGTATGTGTGTCGTTTTCTTTACGTTTTCTGACTAAAAGCAACCAAAAAGTCAGTTTAAAGTGGTTAAAGGGGTCATGTGACGCGATTTCAGTTGTTCCTTTCTCTTTGGAGTGTTACAAGCTCTTGGTTCATAAAGAAGATCTGTAAAGTTGCAAAGACTAAAGTCTCAAATCCAAAGAGATATTCTTTATAAAAGTTAAGAGTCAACCACGCCTACCTAAAACGCCTCGTTCTAACACGCCCCCACATGTCTACGTCACGATGTGGGAAGATTTGCATAACGCCGCCCAAATATTCACGCAAAGAAAGAAGCCGTAACTTTGATTCTCGCTTTAGTATTGTTGCCGCCATGTCGTGAAGGACGATATCCGCTTCGTCATGCCTGGAGCTGATCCGTGCTGGTCGCTGAGGAAATGCATTAACTTCGCGCGGTGGATCGCCGGATCGGCTTTCACCGTGGAAGAAGCGGAGTCCAGCCCGGGGTCGTCACATGTGGTTGCCGCAAGCCCGCCGGCCACTCCTTCGTCGAATCTGCCGCTCGCTCACTCAAGCCCGCCGTGTGTGACTCCGTGTTTCGTTGTGAAAGCAAAACTACTTGGTTTGGCCTTCCAAAAGAGGACACGACTAGAAATCAGTGGTTAAGTTGTATTTACAACACTGTTCCAGAAGAGTTTAACCCAAATATTCAGGTGTGTGCATATTTTTTGGGCAGTGTAGAGTAGCACTTGTTTGTCATTTCTCCGATCACAAATGCA